ATAAGGAATTCAGCAAGCTTATTTAGCAACTTGAGAGTGAGTTTTTACAAATGGTGATCTTAATGTTTGCAGTATAAACCAAAATATATTTTTTAAAATATAAGCCTGATAAGTGAAATGCATTTGATAAGAAAGCAGACCTTTCTCTTTTATTGGGGAATGCCTAAGGCCATAATAACTTATACTAGTAATCAGTAAGATGTGATTTAAAATTTTCTAATGCTATTTAACTCTGAAATTATTTCACATCCTGCTGTTTGTTATATCTGGAAGGATTAACTATTCAGAAATCCTAGATTTTAAATTATCAATCGTATACTCTTTGCCTAAACATGACAAGGAAAGTAATTTAACCTTTTACACTTTGAGATTCCTCAGACCACTCAAAAGCTTTTGAATGTCAGAAAGTAAATTGTGTACATCACTCTTTAAAACCTGTAATTAATAGAGTAGAAATAGTATTTATTCAAATTATGTTACTAGCATGAGATTACCTAAAACATGGCACATCAGCCATTAATTAGCAGACAGCTAATTCATCCACTTGACAAGTATTATTGGTAACCTGGTGTGTTGGGTACTTTTCTAACATTGACTTTTAAAAATTATTTCATTAAACTATTCTGCTTTTAAAGTTAATTACCAATTTTTACCTTTGTCACTTGGAAGCAGTAATTATCTTAAATGACAATTTCTAAAACTCTTGGCCTCCCAAGGTACTCCAACTCAGTATTTGGGTAAGAAGCCAGCCCCCTAGCTATAGTTATGTGGTAGTGAGCTAAAGGTTCTTAAAAAGAATGCTTATAATATTTATGACCGAGATACAGTTAAGATTTTTTAAAAATCTAAATGAAAAATGTTGCCCTTCTGAGATTTCTAAATATTTGAAATTTCTAAATACTTTTGTTGTTAACTAAAATTTAGTTTTGTAGAGAATAGTTTTGATTGAATGTTAAGTGGGTTCTTTATAAAGTTACATATTTTCTCTACATGTATAGATTTTACATGTACTGTTTTATGTATGAAGCGTGTTTGTGAGAGTTGACCTTATTTCCAGTTTTATGATTTGAAGAACTGTAACTATTTTTAAATTAAGATTTTTAACATAAACAGTGAAACCTGAGTTATACACATTTTCATGGTGAATTGCCTTTTGATCTGTTGCATGCAAGGTATTTTCATGTTAGCATTTCAGTCTTTTAAAGTAAAATTCACGCTACACTTATAGAGATTGAGTCAGGCATTCTCTCTCATTTTTTATTTCTTACCTTATTAGTTTTTTCATTCCTGCATTTCACACTGACCATCAGAAGTAGAAAGGTAAAAAGCCCTTTCAAAATTCAAAACAGGGATAGCATTTTGACGACTGAGTCACTAGTCCTAATGGTTTCTCCCCCACTATTGTCTCTTCCTTTTCCTATTCAGTTAAACCAGAGAGAGGTAAATTGTCAAATAGATACTGTTAGTAACCAGAATATTTGGGTGACTTTACACCTAGACACAACTAACAGCCCATTTAAAAGCAACTCCACTGAATGCTCCATCACTTCAAAGAATTATGAGGCTTCAGGGACTTTGCTAGTATCTGACTCAGAAAGGAAGTAATAGTGTGAGGAGGTTAAATGAGTTGATCAAGATCATATAACTCAGGAGACCGCAGGACACCACATATACAGTTCATTGAGCATATATACCATACAAAATCTGTGAACTAGATAGTTGTTGGTACATGGAAATATACAAGACCTCTCTTCTCCTCAGTCTTGACTAAGTCAGAGCCGGGCCACATAGTCTTTTAAGCTATGTTAAGAATTTTAATCTGTATTGTAAGAGCAATGAGAAGCTTTGAAGGAAGGAATTTAAGAAGAGGGCAATATGATCATCATCTCATTTTTTAAAAAAGCAGTCTGTCTTCACCTGAGAATGATGGGGTAGAAGTAGGCTATTTTGGAGGAAGGCTGATAAATTGAGCTGCTACTGCAGAAATCTAGCTTAGATTAGGTTTCTGAGATGGATGTCAAAATGGAGAAGTTGAAGGAAATGGAAGACAGTTGTTAGCTGAGGAAAGGGAGAAGTCGTGTGGTACCTTGATTTCTGATGTGGTAGAGTCCATTAGATGGTGGTGCCATTTTCTTAGAGGCCCATCTTGTGGTGTGGCAGGAAGATCATGAATTGTGATGTAAATCCCTTCTGTTTAAGAGTCTGTAAAGAATTAGTGATTATATAGAACCAGAATTGAGAGGAGAAATCAGAGTTAAAGTTGTGACTTTAATTAGGGCCATGACTAAATGATATTCTCTAGGGAAAGAATTTAGACTGAATAGTGGCCGAATGTGGTAGGGGGAGGAACAAATACACCAGTTTTCGTATGGTGGATATCTAAAAGGGTGAGATAAATCTGGCAGTAGTTTAGCCGTCTTCCTCTTGTTACATTAAATATAAGCAACAAATGATCAGCTAGAGAATACACAAGGTGTCCCAAAAACATGTATACACACTTTAACAACTGATAGCTCAATTGATGTTTCTTTTCAGCCAGACTAGGCTTTGAACAAAGGAAATTCATCCTAAAATGCTACTGGAAGTTTGAAAATGCAGTTAAAACACGAGCACTGCCTTTATCATTATTCAAAGGGTGTCTCCCCAAAAAAGTACATTCGCTTCAACAGCTGGTAACTCATTTAATTTTCACTCCTTTTCACGTTTAACTGATTTGAAATAATGGGTGAAGCCAGGCTAAGCTTTGAACAAAGAAAATGTATCCACTAGACATTTTTATAGGGACATATAATAAAGTCTATGGTACAAAACCAGCAACAGTTGACAGATTGAGGGCACACAAGTACTGAATGAAATGATTCCTGATATTTGTGATTCCATTGCTTCGAATTATCAGCAGTGCCTGGGCCAGAAGGTCATCAGTTTGAAAACAGGCACTGACAAAAAAAGTTATTCATTTCTGTAGAAGTATGTATATATATTTTTGGGGACACACTATATATATGGAACAGGATTATTTTTTGAACCCAGTGAAATGTCATTCAACTGTTCGGAAATATCTTCGTTATAAAGAATATTTTTAACATTTTCAGCTCATGGTATTTTGCCTAAATTCCATATCAGATGTAGACCTACATTATTTGACATAGTTTTCTTCTAAAAATTGTAATATTTTTCATAAAATTCTACAAAATCTATAATACTGTAGAGTCACTGCTTGGGTATCTCGTATAATTTCTCAAACTTAACATTTTGAAACTCAATTCCAACCTCACCCTGCTGAAACATTTGTACAAGAGAGTTTCTACATGGAGTCAAATAATTCAGATTTTTTTTCATCAACTGAGGCATGCTTTGCAAGAAGCAGATCTCCACAAGTCATCGACGCTCGTTTAGATTCCTAGATAGGTTTCAAAAGTGTCTGTGATGCCACTGGTTCAGCTTGGCAGTGTATCACTAGGGTTCAGTGACTCTCATACAGAGTGCCCTACACGTGGTTCCTTCTTGGGTAAGAAGCTTCATAGAGAACAAAAAACATCAGTTACAACATCAATGGAAATGGGCCCAAATCTCAGCTCTCTCATGTATTAGCTGTCAAATTTGGGCAACATTTTTTTTTTTTTTCCTCCTCTGTGCCAGTGTCTTACTTGGTGGGCGGTGGTAGAGATTAAATGATATAATAGATTGATCGTAAGGTGCCTCCCACAAAGGGAATGCCTAAATATGATTCTGATCTTTGTCTGCTTACAGTATTTACTCTCAGGATAAAGTTATCAAAAGGGACCTCGACCAAATTTTAAAACTGCTTTATATCAACTTAGAAACTGTGTAGTATTACATATGCAAACTGTGGAAAAGAAACAATTGAAGAACTTATTGACCAGAATTCCTTAATGGTTTCTTTTTGTGAAAGTAGGAAGAGAAAAATGATTCTGCCTCTGAGGCAAAGGTAAATGTCATAGAGAATTTAGTTTTCTCTAGTTTTTACTTGATCTTTTTATTCTCTCTGAAGACACATTCTTTAAGAATGTGGACAACTTCAAAGGCAGAATAGAAGCACTCATATTGACACTTGGAGACCTTTACAGGTTTCTGTTCAGCCAGGGATAGGCATTTTAAAAGCCTTAGATAACAGCCTATCTAGAGTAGAATTGGGAGGCAGCCTTCCATATTGAGGTGCTAGAATAAAGTCTCAGGTCACGGTGGTTTCACACAAAATGTTAGTTTGTCCCACAAAGGAAAGGGAGTGTGTTTAGATTTCATTTCTTTTGTCATTGTTTTATGTTTTAATCCTATCACAGGCTTTGGATTAAAAACTTGTTACATTTATCGTCATACTCAAAGAAATTTTTAGGCTAATGCAGGGCAAATGAGTAGATTTATATAGCTTTTCCCTGACCTGGATGGAGCAGTAGTACATTTTTTATTTTCATGAAGAATTTGTGTGCCTGGTAGGGCTGGTGTGGCTCAGCAGTTGAACATTGATCCAGGACTCAAGAGGTCACTGGTTAGATTCCGATTGCCAGTCAGGGCACATGCTCGGGTTGTATTATAGACTTGATCCCCAGCAGATGGAGTGCAGGAGGCAGCCGATCAATGATGTTTTTCTCTTATCTATGTTTTTATCACTCTATCCCTTTCCATTCTATCTCTCTAAAAATAAAGGGGAAAAAAATTTTTTTAATTACAAAGCATTTGTCAAGCCCTGGCCAATGTGGCTTAGTTGGTCAATTGAGCATTTTCCTGTGCACTGAAAGGTCACCAGTTCATTGCCAGTCAGGGCGCATGTCCAGGTTGTGGGTTCAATCCCCAGTCAGCAGCTAATTAGCTAATTGATGTTTTTCTCTCTCTCCCTTTCTCTCTAAAATCAATAAAAACGTGTTTTTCTAAAAAAAAAAAAAAAAAAAAGCAGTCTCTCTAAAAAAAACAATTGCCTAAAGCACCAAATACAAAGATAATTGTTTGCTTTTGTTTATTTTCTTCCCCCCCCCCCCCCTTAGGATTATGACAGTTTCTTTGAATCAAAGGAAAGCAACACAGTCTTTTCATTCTTAGGCCTGAAATCACGGTTGGCATCAAAGGTAAGTAAATCTTTGCATTTTTCTTCAATTATTCTTAGCTGTTCTCAATTGAAGTTGAAAGTGTTAAGAGGATGCACATATACCCTAAATATTTAGCTTTTGTTTGTTTAAATGCATAATTAGAGACTGCCCAGGGTAAAAAATACAAAAAGAAGCCTAATATTTTTTTTTCTTTTCAGTTTTCAATTGTTTATATTAGTTTGTTTTTAATTAATAATTTAATTTATTTATAATTTATTTTCCCTTCTTCCAAGAAGAATTTAAGATAGCAAAAAAAATGGTAGGTGCTTTCTATTTTAAAGTGCAAGCTTATAATAATTTATGCTTTTTTTTAAATTGCAGCATAAAAGCCATATTTTTAAGGTCTTTTGCATGTTTAACTCATTTAATTTAAAAGAGAGATGGACTGCATTAGCAAGTAGTCAATGTTGAAAACAACCCTACAATTCTTAAACTAATCAAAATGTTTTCAAAGCTGCTTTAGTGTGTCATATGTCTTTTAGAGAACAAAAGGCTCAAGTTTTTAAAAATTTAGGTGTAGAAATGATGTATATTATCACAACTTTGTGAAGCACATGGGTTCACTTTCAAAATAAAAGATAGCATTTCCTGCCGAAACCGGTTTAGCTCAGTGGATAGAGCGTCAGCCTGTGGACTGAAGAGTCCCAGGTTTGATTCTGGTCAAGGGCATTTACCTTGGTTGCGGGCACATCCCCATTAGGGGGTGTGCAGGAGGCAGCCGATCTATGTTTCTCTCTCATCGATGTTTCTAATTCTCGGCCCCTCTCACTTCCTCTCTGTAAAAAATCAATAAAACATATATTTTTTAAAATAGCATTTCTTTATTAAATAAGGTAATATTTTGATTATTTACCCTTTAGAGACAATATTTATTTTATTTTATTGATAATTAGACAGAGGAAGAGAGAGAAGAGAGGGGAACACTGATACAAGAGAGAAACATCAATCCATTGCCTCCCATATAAGCCCTGACCAGAGATTGAACCTGCAACCTGGATATGTGCCCTCACAGAGAATTGAACCCACAACCTTTTTGGTGTATGAGATGATGTTCCAATGAACTGAGCCACTCTGCCAGGGTGATGCTTGTTTTATTCTGATTATGAAAGTAGGTTAGGCTCATTTAGAAAAATTGAGAACGTACAAAAATGTGTTGGTTAGAAAATAAAAATCGACTATTATCTCAACATCTAGAGACAAACACATTAACATTTTCGGTGTATTTCCTTGAAATCTTTATATACCTAGCAATTGAGGTTTTTACTGTATTTCAATGAGACTGAGTTCTAAAGTACCATTTTTAACACTGGATTGAAATAGAAGTGCATTATCGGCAACTTTGATGTCTGTAAGTAATAGGTCTTTTGAGGCAGCGTAGGATTTGCACCATTTTTGGAACACCTGTAGGAGGAAGGCAGCGACTATCAATAATATAAATTATACACCAGCACTTGTAGTTTATAGCTGATGGGAAGTCTTCCTTTGTTTTTGCATCAGTAAGTCCACAGATGGTTGTGGGTGGTTTCCATGCACATATTTTAAACAGAGGCAAAACCCACATATGTAATATTAAAAGGTTCTTAAGACTATTTTTATAAAGGTGGAACATTGGAATACTTGTTAGAAAAACTAGTATTTTATAACCTGTTTTATCCAAGGATATTAAACAATCCAGATGTACCTTCAAAGAACTGGAAAAAACTAGAGTAGGATTAATCTGATACATAAATCCAATGGACATCACTTTCTATACAAAAGCCTTTTTAAAAAAAAAATACTGGCCCTAACTGGTTTGGCTCAGTGGATAGAGCGTTGGCCTGCAGACTCAAGGGTCCCAGGTTCGATTCCAGTCAAGGGCATGTACTTTGGTTACGGACACATACCCAGTAGGGAGTGTGCAGGAGACAGCTGTTTCTTTCTCATCGATATTTCTAACTCTATCCCTCTATGTAAAAAATCAATCAAGTATATTTTTTAAATGGTATATTTATTTAAAAGAAAATGATGTGTGCTTGCCTTCCTTGCTCTTATTTTCCCTGAAGATCTGGATTCCTTAGGCACTCTTTAGGCTGACTGTTCTACTCTTCAAAAATATTTATTCTCTCAGAAGTTTCTCAAGAAACCTGTGATAAAAGAAGCATTCTCACATGATTTGTAGTCTTAATATTAAAGTTGGTCTTGATGCCATTGATGTTTACTTGACTTCAGCAGACCATTCCAAAGGATTGAGGGCTCAGAGCGTCCCCACCCAGTCAGACCACCATTTGCAGGTGCCTGAGCAGGAGCACATGGGACCAGAGTGGAAGCCCATGGTCCAGAGTTTGATATTTAGAGAGAGAAGAGAGGGAAACATTGATATAAGAGGGAAACATCAACCCGTTACCTCCCATATAAGCCCTGACCAGGGATTGAACCTGCAACCTGGATATGTGCCCTGCCAGAGAATTGAGCCCACATCCTTTTTTGCGTGTGGGATGATGCTCCAACGAACTGAGCCACACTGGCCAGGTTAAACATGAACCATTTGGGGCCAGAAGGGTTATTAACAATCCATACTCCCTTCATTTTCATTGGAGAGAAATAGGAGTATCTTTAAGAGCAGTTCAGCATTTCCTCCTTTTCTTGTTACTTATATTTTACCGTGGAGGTAATTCATTACACAGTGTATACTCTAAGGCCTGAGAGCATTCACAGGTGTAATGCGGTAAAAGATGGTTAGCCCCTGTTCTCATCTCCTTCCCTACCCTCTCTACAGTGAGCACACATAAAGCACAGGCCTAGAAAGCCTGCCAGGGAGTACAGACAGGCACCATTAGCATCTGTAATTGCTCTTACACAGTGAGGAGACAGAAGAGAGATGGTAGAAAAGGAACACGTTTATGGCTCAGACTGCACAGGTGCAGTGTGGACTCCGGCAGTTCGCAAAGTAGGCAAGGTGGGAGGCAGAGGAAGGTGGAGGTCCCACCGTGGTGGCCTTTAGGGTGTGTTTGTCTGCCTAAGACCTTTAAAAGAATTTAAATGAGTTGTTAATATTTAAAATAGCAAATTCCCGCTCTTCTGGAGAAGTTGAAATGCATGGAAACCCTGGGGAAACCCACTTTCTTCTCTGTCTGGAGCCATCGCTGTTATTTTATAGACTCACAGCAGGGACTGAAGAAGTTTCTGCTTTCAGAGATCGCTGCCTTTCCAGGGTGATAGCAACTGGTACACCCTGGGCACCGACCAACCAGAGCTGGAGCCGGGCGGAGGCCCTGCATGCCAGGTGACTGGTGGGTGAAGCACGGAGCCCTCCGGGGTATTGGGGCGGCCACTATTTACCAAGAGGCATGCCCTGCAGTGCTGTTCTTTACCGTGGGCCACTCTCCGCAGCCCCCCGAGGGGCTGGGCCACACACATCCTGCTCACCCGGGTGGGACTGGAACAGTTCCTCTGAGAGGGGTCTTGGCGGTTGTTGAAACATGGCTTTCTTTTCGCTTTCCTATTTGGCAGGCCAGGTGTGTGAGATTTAACTCTGGCCTCTCGTCCTGAAACTCAGGATTTGTTCTTATCAATCATGTGGGGATGACTTATTGGGATTCCCAACATCTCTGTTCCTGGTATTTAAAATACTACTGTCCGGTATTGTTGTCAGTAATAACTGGCTGTTTTTAATTATCATTACTAAACAGGCAGAACCTTAGAGAAGGCAAGCGGAAGATGATGGAGATGCATTTTGGAGCGCCCCCGGATACTCAGCCACACCTCTCACCTAATGCATCACTGTGACAAGAGCCACAGGCATCATCAGTAACCCTGCTTGCATTTGGAAAAGGTGTTCTTGGAAGACATGGGTATAATGGGATTGCATGATCACTTTAAACCAAATCAGAACTGTGGTGGGTTTTTTTTTTTTCTTATTTTCAGAATTGCCTGCAGTTGCCTCACTCACCCGGAGGTACTATAACCTGTTACAGGTGTGTGCTTCCTTAAAGACTGAAAGATGAGTGAGTGGCACCATCAGAGAGAAAACATTGGACCTGTCCTAGGTTGTAGTTGATGCTGCCACTATTGCTCAGACCTTCTTCTCTTTAAGTTGCCTGGGTTGTATTCTTATATTAGCCTGCCAGGATATTAGAGTCTTTGGATCAGAAAGAAAAAAGAAATGTTGGTTGACAAAGGAATTAAGATTTTGCTGCAAAATCACAAATGTCACTTTCAGCGCTTTGTAATAACGCCTACCGAAAAAGTTGGTTTGGTAGTGCAAATTCTTACCCTCATAAATCCTCTAAGCACCACAGATGTTTCCAAAAAATCACTGTTGCAACTACGTGTGATCAGAATCAAATTACATGGGTGAAAATAATTGCTATTTTGGAAAATAGATGCTTCTTTATCTCTTGCAAGAGGAAATTTTCCCCTACATGCATAAAACTGTTTAAAAGTATATTTTAAGAGGTGCACTAATTAGATAGTAAATTTATAGGAAAAGTACTTGACTCATATCTGAAGGCATTTTCAGTTGTAGCAACTTATACATATGTGCACATATATTTTTAAATGGAGTTACCCTGACTAACAGCTGCTTATTATATTTTGTGAAGGGATTATATTTTTTTGAGAAAGGAAGATCTTGGTTAGATATATTTTGTGAACCCTTGATAAGGCATATTAAAAGATGCTAATATTGCTGCACAATTTAATTTTTTTCTGACTTACTTTCCTGTGGTTCTTTAACTTTGCTTCTTCATATTTCTGGCCAATGCACAGTCTCAGATTTTTCAGAGTAATGTAAATACATGTTCTCATTCCATATACGAGCTCAGTGAGTTTCCAGAGCAGCATATATGAGAAAGGGGCTGTTGGGGATAAATCTGAATTGTACTTGGCATGCAAAATCTTTACTCCCTCTGGAGTGGATGCTGATAAACACTAAACATGCCTGTTTTATTAGGGCAGAGGCTACATCCTTGTCCCCGCTTACATTTTCTTTAGAGTTTTTAGTTGCCAAACGGGAAGAATCTCCAGCAGGCTACCTAAAATATTCGCTATTCTCAGCATCCTGATGCCGGACCTTCCGCTTAGATTCTGAGCAGGGTATTTATAAAAAATTGAAAGAACAGAACTATTGAAGCCCTATCGCGTATGTGCTCTCACCCTCCAACTTGCTATATGTGGACTCGTTGAATGCAAAAGCTAAAATCCTAGACAGATTTGTAGCCCAAAACTGCAATCAGGAGAAAAGAATGCCACAGATTTCTGCTGGACTGGAACACAAACACGACCCACAGTTTTCCCTCCAAGGAAAGCTGTTGTGAAACAAGGGTATTACTGCTTAGTTGGCATTAAAGAAGATCCGGGTCAAATCCATTTGATAAATCCCAGAGACTATCGAGGATTTTTTTTTTCCCTAAACTGGATATTGTGTTTGAGTATGCAAGTCTTCTGATAAGACTTAGACTTTCTTTTTAAGCTACAGCAATTAATTTTTTTTAATGTTGCAACGATCTAATTTATATTGTCTGCTTTTGCCAGTGAGCACCAAAAACCAACTTGTGAAGATCGAGACTTTCTAAGTTAAGTTCTGGGGTTTTAGGGTCAATACAATACTTGCTAGGCAGGGAAAGTCACTCAGATCTGTCTTAACATTTTTGAATTATTATGGCTCTTGTAGGCCCAGTGCAATTCTTCTTAACAGACTAGATGAACAGCAGTGCTAAATTACTGTCACAGTTACACATCATCTACTCCTCACCCTACCTTTTTTTTTTTTTTTTTTTTTGGTCAGCAAGGAAATAAGAGAGACCAGCCTCGGCTGTACTTGCTATGTGTGAGCTAGAAGCCACACTGTGTGGCGTTAAAGCCGTACCACAGTACCCAGGCTCTGCAGAGTACTGAGGGATGGCCCTGTGGAACCACCCTGTCTTCAGAGGATATTGGGTCCTTACTTGTACTATATTACCAGCTGAATTTCAAACATGGAATCGTTTCATGTTCCCTTTTTTAACTAGCTGCCTTTCGATTTAGATAATCACAGTCTTAAAAGCCTAGGGGAAAAGTGGGTGGGACTGCAGGCATAGAGGTAATATCAAGGGCATTTCAAGACAGAATTTTTATTTCCTGTAGAAGGCTTATTGGGACGAAGGAAATGTGCTGCCAGAAATCCAAGTATGCCATTTTAAAATTAGATAAAATACACAGTGCCATCCTGCTAGGTATATGCGGTATATGCATACCACAAGGAAATTTTGTTTGGGAGAAATGTTTTTTTCTCCTCCAAATTCTGGTGTTCTCTTAAAAATCAAAGAGTAGAAAAGGAAGATTTTTTTTCTCTTAGACTTTAATATATTTTAGATTTGTTTCTGTTTTATAGATTTATTCAACATTCCCACATAGATGTTTTTGTATTACATGGGTTTATATAACTAAATCTATTTTTTCCTGTTATTAAAAGGTACCAAAGTCTCTTTCTGTTTATTTGTTTGTTTGTTTTGGTTTTTTAAAATTTGATTTTGCTACAGAGGGATTTGTTTATTCCTAGAAATGCTTTTCATTTAGCAGCTTTCCTTAAGTGTCAGGGCCACTTTGATCTGCATAATTGTTATTTTTAGATTTCAATTTGTATGCATTTGTCCCTAAAGGCATTGGTGACATCTCAGATTTTATATTCAACATTAAAAAGGAATAAATTCCAGAAAACACATATTCTGAAAATAGTGTTTGTTCCCTTTCTTACACCTTTTTTAATATTAATTCAGTGTTTGGTTGAAACCTTCCTGTTAAGTTAGGATGCTGGGTTTCCACTCTCATCCATGAGCCCCATATCTACAGATTAATTATAAAAATGTAGACATATCATTTGACCATTTGAGGAGATTCACATGCTGCCGTGTGTGTGTGTGTGTGTGTGTGTGTGTGTGTGTGTGTGTGTGTGTGTGTTAGAGAGAGAGAGAGAGAGAGAGAGAGAGAGAGAGAGAGAGAGAGAGAGAAGTGGGAGTTGACCACAGAATCATCTCAGACAGGATGGCATTAAATCCCTTGGTCCCTTGGTTGGTATAACAGAGGGATGGTTTCCTGAGTACACTGAAGCCCTAGCTGGTAGATTTGTTCCTCTAATTGGAGGTAGAAAGCAAGTGCAGTGAGGCTGCCACCTTTAATAGAGGGGCCCCCTTTGACGCAGCCACCTCTGAGAGCGGAAGAAAGCATTTCTGAAGGCAGTGTCTAAAAGCTGACCTCATCACCAAACTATTTCAAACCTTAAACACCAAGACAGAGGGAGGAGGAAGGAGGAGATAAAAGAGAACAGGCTGTACGTTTGCAGAATGTGCTAAATCATGAAGCCAAATAAGCCACCCTCTTGTAACCCTGACTTTCAGAGTTTTCCTAGTTCTTCTAGAAATGCAGGTCAGGTTAGTTTAGTCATCCTTTCGATCAGTGATCAGCAGGCGTGGAGGCTCAGAATGTTACAGTACTGTCTAAGGGCAGCCTCCACCCTCACGGACGAGAGAGACAGGAACAAAAGCTGCAGCGACAGCCCAGTGGAGAAGGACAGAGTTCAGGTGAGGGAGTTGCATGGCAGGTGATGGACACCATCTGAAACCCGATGTGTAATCTTTGCCTGTGTTTGTTACAGCCACTCCGATTTAAAATTATTTCATACATTCAGTGGAGCTTAGACACCTGTACATACCTAGAAAATACGTATGTACTCTCTGAAATGTAAAGAGTAACGAAGAAACCCCTATCTGCCTGCCAGCAGCTATTGCCTTTCCTTTCAAGCACCGTGAGCTCTTCTCTGCCCCTGGCCCGTCCCAATTTGATGGTGGAGCCCTTCTGAATTCCGTGTTATCATAGTCTTTCTGTCCTTTATCATTTTACCTCCATGTATGTATCCTTACGTAATAATAAAAGAATTGGAATTCCTCTTTTCTCACTTCCTTTTTTGCTCATTTGGGCATTATCATTTTGAAAGAAGTACCCTAGTCTCCTGCTTTTCACTGTTACGTTTCATTTCATTGTATGACTGTATCACAGTTTTTCTCTTCTGTTGCCATATTTGAACTGCATCTTTCTTTTAAACAGAAAAAGGAAATGTTGTTATGAACATTTTTATGTGATTTCTGGTGCGCACACACAAGAGTGGATTGCTGTGTCATATAGTACAGCACATCATCAACTTTAATAGATATGGCCAAATTGTTTTTCAAAGCAGTGGTATGAACTTACATTCCCACTGGTATACTAGATTTTCCACTTATCTAGATCCTCACTAATTCTTGGGATCATTTTTGCAAGCTGAGTACAAAATGATACCTCATTGTGATTTTATTTTGCATATATTTGATTACTAGTACGTTGAATATTTTTATTATGGGAATTCTTGTTTCATCTTGGAAATCCCTCTTCCAAGTCTTTCACCTTTTTCCTATTATGTTGTTAAGTATTAATTTTTAAAAACGCTTTACACTTAAATATCTCATCAGTTAATACTATTTAACTATTAAAGAGAACCTGTACTCAGAGTAGAACAATTTTCTGAAGCCATTTCCAGAAGTATGAAAAGCATATGAAACTTTATTCTATTTGAGGGAAATAAAGTTAAAAGCTTATATTGTGTGCTTATTGTGTGCTAATTTTCAGCTTGTCAGCATTATCAGCCAGGAGATGCACTTTAGAAACGTCTCTACACTCCAGAAGTTTCTCT